GGGCGTGTGATCGCGCGCTCTCGGGGGCTGGTAGTGGCCGGGGCAGTGGTGCGCACAGGTCTGTCCGGCTTCTGGAGCCCTCTCGCTCTCTGTGGCGCGCTCGCTTCCTCGGTGGCGCTTCCCCCTTGCTCCCCCTTCCCTAACCGGCTGCGCTGCTAGCCTGGCCGCCCTCAAGGTCCCAGCCGCTCAGGCGAAGCCACGAGCCTTTATACCGCACTAGTCAGCCACGGAAGTGCGCTTCGATTGGCTGTCCCCGGAGCCGGGCCCTCGCGCCCCCTCCTGAAGCGTGGGGAAGGGGAGGAGGCGGCTCGCGTCACTGTCAGGAAGCGCGTGTCCTTGTAAACAGCGGCCACGGGCCGGGTGGCTTTGCACGGCTGCTGGGGGAGGGGCTCAAGGGAGCCCGGTGGGCGGAGGAAGGAGGATGTTGACTGCCCGAGGGACACGGGGGAGGACTTTTTGAGAGGGTATATGCTGGACGTATATGCAGACCTGGTGCAAAGCAAGTGGGGAGGGGGTCCCGGATGTACTGGAAAGGTCTAAGTTACCCGGGGTGGCTGGGGTAGGTAGGAGGACTAACACACTGAGAGACCTGGGAGAGGGAAGAGAGGGTTGAACAATAAATCAGGAAGAGTCCGGAGAAGCCAGACCCAGGAATGAACTGGGGGTCTCAGGCACAGAGGGGTTGAGGTACTGGAATTTTCACAGGAAGGAGGAATGAAGCGATCCAAAGAGTCAAGGAGCGCACCTGCAGCACCTAATATAAAAGAAATGAGTCGGGGTTCGGGAGTCCTTGCGAGAGTTGGTGGGTACCCACGGGGGATATCTAGGTGTGCAGAAAGTGAGAAAGGATACAGGAGTACCCTGAGTTAGGTAAAACATAAGGAGCAGAAGATGGGGATGTGTTCAGCAGAGATGCGCCCATCTGTGAAGCCTTAAGGAAGGAGAGGTAGAAGGGTCGGGCACACTAGGAGCTAAGAGGATGGTGACAGGAAGGTACCCAATCAGGACCTGTCAGAAGAGGGGCTTTGGGGACCCTGGCGACAGGTACCGCAGTGTCCACAAAGACCGCCATTCTCCCTCACGGGTGAGATGTAGGCACCTGTATACTCCAGATTCCAAATCCCTCCATTGGTCACCCTGGGCTTGACCCACACCCTGTCAGCTCCTGGAGCCTGGATCCAGCCGGGCAGCCGGGGTGCGGTCGCCTAACCCCGCTCCCTTCCTTAGAAACAGGCTGGGGAAAGAGCGCCGAGGCAGGAAGTGTGGCAACAGCCCCGGGGGGAAGGAGCCCGGCCCTGTCTCCGTCACTCCGATCCTAGGAGACTGCGCCCCGCCCTGAGTCTGGCCGCTTTCCGCGCCTGGGAAGAGGAACCCGGGAGTGCGACCCCCCCCCACACTCCTACCCTGGGGAGGCCTCGGGAAGCAGATTTGCCTAGCTACCTAAGGCTCCAGTCACCGTTGTTCCCCCAAGCCCCGGAATGGTTCCTCCCGCAGCTCCCGCGGGCGCCTGCGAAGGCAGTCAGCGCGGGGTGGTTCCATCGTCGGGGGGGGGG